TAATCTCAATACCAACCATAGAAGACCTGGAGGTCTGTACAGACAGGCAGTGACAAGGCAGTCATGTGGTTGGGTTTACAACCAATGAGAAGGCAGAACAGAAAGTCTATATAAAGACAAAAGCACAGGAAGTAGGTCTCTTGGCTGAAGAGGCTAGCTGCAGCAGACGGGTAAGTCTCTTAGCTCTGACCTCTTGGCTTTCTTCTTTGCATTGGTTCTGTGTTTCTTATTTAATAAGATGGTTGGTTACATCTACATCTATTCTACAACAAATAGTGAAAAATATCTATCCTTCTTTGGTGACACTATGTAGAATTGGTCATTCTGCCTTTTGCACACTGTACTACCACTACTCCATTGCATATTATGATGACATTATATCATCTGTTACTGAGAGGGCTGGGGAGCCAAGACCAGAGTTATGGCAGGTTTATAATAGCCCCTACTAGGGACCAGGCCTTAGTTTCAGTTTATGGGGGCTGGTGGGAGCTGAGCAAGCAGTTCTCGGGGAGACCACAACTCAGGGGCAACCAATCAGCAGGTGCCCACAGCCTTCTGTGAACTAAAGAGAGCTCTCCCTACCCAGCTGCGGGAAAGTTCCTAACCACTAGAGCCACCCATCAATCCTATGAACTTTTTTGTGTAAACCCACCAATCAGCCCCCAGACTAATCTCTTTCCCTTGGAATTCCCCTAACCCTGCTTAAAAGGAGCCTGCGAGCTTCTCTTGGGGTCGCTTTTTGCCACTTTGTCAGATGGTTAGACTTCGACATGTTGGGAATTTTAATAAATGCTCTTGCTGACTGCATATGTGCACTGGTGGCCTTTTATGGGACTTCTCTCAGACCCTAACAGTTACACTATTGTATTATACTTTTGTTTTCCTGTTAGACGCCCTTGAACGTAAAGGATTCCATCTTTCTTACCTCTGTATATGGACACATTTTGATGCCTTTATGTAATAGGTGCTCAGAATGTTATCTTTGTCCTGGAGGACATAGGGGATTACGTAATACTTTAAAGGAAAATATTTTTAAAATGTTAGCTTAGGCATCAGTGTGAGGAAACAAAGACATGTTCCTTCATTTCTTTCTGTGGCTTTTCTTTTTTAAGATAGGGCTTTGCTAGGCATCCTAGGTTGGTCTGAACTTTGCTACACAGTTTAGGTTGGCCTTCAACATACTGTCCTCTTCCCTCAGCCTTTGGAATGTTGGGATTACGGGCATGAGACAGGAAATATATATTCACTCAGCCTTTAAAAACCTTAGTCAGTGTCCCACTTTTGCCTATCTTATCCTAGGCTAGGTTGGCCAGAACTTACAATATAGCACATGCTGGTCTCAAACCCTCAATCTTCCTACCTTAGACTTCCAATTGCTCAAGTGTTGTAATTACAGGTACTCAAGACCCAATTAATAGTCACTTATTTCACCAACCACCTGACTATTTATCTACTCAGTGATAAAGATGAGACATGAGGACTGTTGGCTCTAAGGCAGTCTGGAGGGAAGGCTCTGCTTAGAAGATCCAACAGAAGCTGAATGGACATACCATGCTAGAAATGTTCTAAATATGACGGAAGAGAAATTAAAATAACTTTATGATGCCTAGCTTGGACACATAGTTAACTTGTAATTTCATAGAAGAACAGGGTTAGGGAAGATGAGCAAATGTCAAAAAGAAGATAATGATGAATAAGAACAAGGCATAAAGACACACAGAGATCACAATGAAGCCCATTAGTTTGTATATTAACTTAAAAATCAATTTCTTAACAAGGAGGAAATAACCACCAGGATTCAGACAGCTCCCTCTCTTGAAGGAGACTTAGTAAAGGTGAGGTGTAGCAGAATACTGGGCATCATGGTGGCACTGGCAGAGCCCTGTGATGCATTCTTCCATTGGAAAGTCGAAGGAAAGGGAAATGAACCAAGATACATAAATTATGTGATGAGTAATCTCTAAGCTTCTCCCAGAATGGACTTGACACCCAATGAAACAGGGTCTAAGGTAGAGCTTACAACTGCAAGTTCTTTAAAAAAAAACTTATAAATGTGTATTATAGTTTTATTTCAGTAAAGCTTTAGTAAGGTTAATTGTCATACAAAACAATAATAATCCCTGGCTTAATTGAAGGTGAAGTTGGTAGTTGTGGCCATGCAATGCCATCCTATCATAGCAATGGTTTTGCTGAGGTCTTCTTGCATTACATAACTACAAAAAATATATATAATTTTGCTTCTTCAGTCATTTATTGTCTAATGATTGTTTACCAGTCAGCATACTAAACAGGCGATCCTTTGCTTTCATCAAAAGTATTAATGTTCCTGACAGGAATTCAGGTCTGATTCTTGCATCATCAGGGTCACAAAGAAAGAACTGCAAGTAACATGTTGCCCATGACAACGCACTCCCATCACATTATTTGCTTTGAGCAAGATAGCCTTCCTGTTTTGATTTTTCTTAGAGATAAATTTGGGACAAATGAGAAATACGCTTGCTCAAAGCAGGAAGATGAGAAATGAAACCACACATTATTTTATTAGAGAATTCCTTATAGGGATAAAATCAAATCATATGCGTGGGATAATTTAGAAATAACATAAAACCAAACACTTCAAGGGCTGGAGTTTTATGACCATGAGTGCAATAATGAAACACCTGATTCAAAGAAAAAGTTAAATAAGACAACTATTATGGTTGGCTCTGAGTCAATTTTGTATTGCATGAGAGTTCATGTGAAAGTTTGGTCTCTAGGGTGGCGGTACTGGGATGTGCTATATACTCTAAGAAGTGGTACACCGCTCCAGGGACGGCTCCATATCCTTGCACATATGGGCAGCAGTAGTTGCACTTAGTGGGTTGTCAACACTGGGGGAGGGCATGGAGGGAGACAGAGGGAGGAATGGAGGGAGATATGATCATGTTTCATTCTATACATGCATGCAGTTCTCAGAGAGAGAGAGAGAGAGAGAGAGAGAGAGAGAGAGAGAGAGAGAGAGAGAGAGAGAGAGAGAGAGAGAGAGAGAGAGAGAGGAGAGAGAGATGGGTCTATGTTCAGTCCTGGTGTAACTGTTTGAATTCCCTTGAGAAGATTGCTAATATAGGAGGAAGCCTGGCTCATCTTATCCTTCCTGCTCCTAGGTGGAGATATGATCACATAATTATTCTTGTATACCCTCTACCTGCTGTCTGTACCATGTGGTGATGCAGCCAAAAGGCAGCCCTTGCCAACCCTGAGCTATGGCATTTGGCCTCCAGTGTACAAAACTACAAGCTAAGTAATTTTTTCACTTCCTAAGTTGCCTGTGTTAGGAATTTCTTTACACCAATGAAAAGTTGACTAACACAGTGAGAGAGAGAGAGAGAGAGAGAGAGAGAGAGAGAGAGAGAGAGAGAGAGCCAAAATTGAAGCTCAAGACCAAATCTGAAGTCTTGATTTCACTAAAACTCTCAATTCTATTAAATAAAAGAAGAGATCAGAGATAGACTCTCGTGTATCATTAAACCAACCAGTAAATACTAGCATGCTGGTAAATGTCATTTGTTGTCTCCTGCATTGTCTTGCTTGAAGTGTGAGTAGTCAATTGACATGGTGGAGTTTCAGAATAGATTTGCTTGAAATAATCTAGTCACTACTACAGATAGACAATTCCCAAGTTCTTCTAATTCTCATACAAGGTTAATGTTATACTGAATTCCAGAGACCTACTGAGTTTGCTTTTAAAGGATACAGATGTAACCACTCAAAACAAAGCACTTACACAGCATCTCATGCAGTCCTTAGGTGGATAAAAGGCTGTGCCCTCTCTAGGAAAAGAGAATGCTTCTGCCCCATCCCTCCCACAGAGACTGTACTGGAGATATTGTATACTGCAGCTTTGTACTGTATCAGCAAGATGGAACAGATCCTGTAACTAGAGCCTCAGCTGATGCTTGTGATAACTCAGAAACATTCACCTTCCACTCTCTGTAATTCGGACGTTGCTATCTTGGAAGCAGCTTGATAGGTTAGACGATAGTGAAATTAAGTCCCATAAACAATGTGTGTGCATTGTCAGTTTCTTGGGAAGCTGAGTTGAGGATTCCTGAATATGCAATTACCAGCAAGTTAAAATCAAGACAGAAGTCAATCCCTTACAGGGGTTGCTTTTTTAGGAAGCAGGTCCCTGGCTGTGATGGACAGATACTTCATTCCCATGGAATGATAAGCATCCAAAGGCTCTTAGTATAGTTGTTGCTTGGAAATATCTTAAACTTGATTTTAGTCACAATATAACTTCATGTTTTTCCCGTTTAAAAATTAATTCACTATGCTTAAAAGTACATGTTTTAAGACTAGGCATGAGTTGGCCACTATTATAGTTTGATGACCTCTTTTTTTCCTCATCTTTTGCTTTTGTGATTAAATTTCTTTGTTTATAAAATACTGAAAAAGCATATTTTTAACTAGGTCTGTCAGTAATGAATTGTTTTATGCTGTTGAAAATTTAAAATTCAAATGTGGAAATACAGCTTTTGCACAATGTGCAGTTTCAATGTGGGCACATGCTTCTTGTATTTCTACCTTCCCCTCTGCTTGTGAACGTTTATCATTGATTTAGCACCTTAGTTGTTTCAGCCTTTACACCTTTAAGGAAAAAACGGATGCCTGGTGCTAACCTGGATATTTCTGATCACAATGAGGATAATACAGTTCTAATTTGAAGATGCCTATTTATTTTGATGATAGATAAACATGCCGTAGTCAGACTTTGATAAGCAATGAAGTGAAGGCTTTTAAAATTTAAGTGGTGGTGGCGCACGCCTTTAATCCCAGCACTCGGGAGGCAGAGCCAGGCGGATCTCTGTGAGTTCGAGGCCAGCCCGGGCTACCAAGTGAGTCCCAGGAAAGGCGCAAAGCTACACAGAGAAACCCTGTCTCGAAAAACCACAAAAAAAAAAAAAAAAAAAAAAAATTTAAGTAATTAATTTATTTTTGGTGAGAGTTAATTACAGCAGTCTAGAAATTAGCCTGAGCTGTTTGCTTACATCTGTATGTCACTGACCTTCCCGGGCCCCAACACTTAGAGCGTTGTTCTCTAAGTGTGCGTCTGAGGAGTGCTACTTCTCACGTGGCAGAGAGAAACCAACAGGACTTTGGTGGTGAAAGTAAAAGGGAGCGGTGAAGGTAGAGCTTCAAGAAGATGTGCAGGTGGGAAATTTGTGTGAGGCTAGGGAAGCGTGGAGGTCGAGGAGGCGGCAATGGCAACACTGAGGATGAGACACGATCAGCAATAGTTTGCAGGTGAACGGATGCTTTTGTAAGAGAAGAAAATAGTAACTGTGTAACTAAGAGTGTGACAAATGTGTTTTATAGGCCAGGTTTCATGGGATAGATCACATTTCATTTCCTATTGCCGTGGAAGAATACTTGAGAATGGATAATTTACAAAGAGTGAGCATCATCTGTGCTGGGTAGGCATGGTAGCCACCTGTAATTCCAGTCTCAGAAGGTGGAGACAAGGTATACCCAGAGCATGCTAGCACGAAAAACACATGTATGCACATACTCACTACATGTGCAACTGCACACAGGAAAAGCATGCATACACACACACACACACACACACACTTGAAAATGGAACAAAAAAGTAGTGAGGTTTATTTTGGTTCATGGTTCTTGGATCATGGTGCCGACATCTTGGCTCCCAATGAGAATCTTATGTTGCTTCAACTCATGGCAGGAAGTTCAAAGGGAGCAGGCATGTAAAATCACACAACCCAAGATGGAAATGAAGAAAAATTCATTCTCAAGAGAAGGACATTAATCCTTTTAACCACCCAATCACTTCTTAAAGTGCCATTTCCCAATACCATTACAAAAGCAGTCACATTTCCACATAAGTTTTAAAACAGATGATCCCTATTCAAATCCTGGCAATCTCAGGTTGGAGGTTTTGCATTTGAAAATGAATAATACACAACAGGTAGGTATACTGCATTCAAGCCAGGTAGGTGAAATAATATATTTTCCTATTGGTAAAAATCTTACCAATTTCTATATCTACATGTTCATACCTTGGTAGCAATTAAGCATTTTCTCACACTCGGATTTTATGCTTTGCCCTCCTGAAGGATTTTCTCTTTTCTTGTTTGCTGAAGGTAGAACCTCAGGGATACAGGCTGAACTCTATCACTGAGCAAATCTCTAGCCCTCATCTAGGTCCTTTCTATAGCCTGTCCCCTTGGATGAGTAAATTGAGGTGCAATTTTATGGTAGAGAGACATATGTTTTTAGAAAATGCTTCTGTAGAACAGGTGCAATGATTCACAGTCAGACATCGCACAGAAAGGGAGAGACCTTGGAGCACACAGCTCTAAATGGGATGTCTTTATCAAATCTCTCCCCTCAGAGTTCATGGAAGCCACTGAAGGAAGCGAAAGAGTATAAGAGCTAGAGGGGATGGAGGACACCAAGAAAATAAGGCGCTCTGAATCAACAGAGTAAAGGTCATGTGAACTCAACCGAGACGGAAGCAGCATGCACAGGGCTGACATGGATCGGCTCCAGGTACTCTGCACATACATTATGACTTTCAGTTTAGTGTTTTTATGGGATTTCTGAGTGTGTAAAGGAGTGGGTCTCTGATTCTTGTGCCTTCTCTTGGGACTCTTTTCCTTGTTGGTTTGCCTTGTCCAGCCTCAATGTGATGGTTTTTGTTTTATCTCATTTTATTTTGTCATGTTTTTATCTCTTAGAAGCCTGTTCTTTTCTAATGAGAGACTGAAAGGGAGTGGATGGGGGGTGGGGGTGGGGGGTGGGAGACTGGGTGGTGGGTGGGTGGGGTTGGGGGAGCAGGAAGATGGGAGGGAAGTAGGAGGAATAGAAAGAGGGAAAACTGTTATCAGGATATATTGTGTGAGAAAAGAATCTATTTTCATTCAAAGGAAAGCAAAAAATGCAAAACTAACAACAACTATAACAACACAACGCTTCCATTGAAGTTTAGAGGTCTCCAAACCAACTCTGTATTACAATATTTTCTTTAACTATTACTCAAGTTAATTTGTCAGTTCTTCTAAAATTAATTTTGCTGTTATATTAACTAGTTTTCCATTTTAAAGTTTGCATGCTAGTATTTTTCACATAGAACTGAACTTTAGCTTTACATCTAATAGAGCATTTATGACTCTAGAAAAATAAGATGAAACTAATCATCCTTTCTGGAACAACAGGAAGTGAGCAAATTATTGCTTCTTCTATTGCATTGATCTGTGTGTCTGTTTTGTTTCAATATCATGCCGTTTTCATGGCTGTGTCTCTGTAGTATAACTGGAGGAAAGTACGGTAAAGACTCCATTGTTCTTTTTGCTAAGGACTGCTTTGTTATCTGGAGTTTAGGGCTTCTATAAGAATTTTAAGAATCTCTATTTTTGTGAAGAATGGCATAGGGATTTTGATTGAGAGTACATGTTAATTTGTAGACTGGAAACTGCCCTGGAAGACTGGTCACTTCTACAATATTAATTCTTTCAGCCTGTGAGCATTTTCTTTGACTTCTGTATTGCACATTTCTTCCAGCTTGGATACTTACACTCATTACAGTTTAGTGAGCTTTTCTTCTGTCCCCAATTCCATCCCGTGTCCTTCTAGCACATCTCGAATTTAATGGATTGCAATTTTTGGTTTGAGTTTAAAGAACCTTTGGTTCTTAAAGAAATAGTTTTCATTCTTTGTTTATGGTCTGCATTTAAACATCAGTTATGGCTCTTTTTGATTGGAATCTTCAACCAAAATGTTTTCTTCAGATAATTTAGAGTTTTTATCTGGAAATGTGGTATCCAGATCTTCTCAAGCTTGATTTATGCACTTTTACTTTTTCCCAGGTCCGCTGTCAGCGTTTCAATCCTCTGTACTGAGTATTTCAGTACTGTTTGTCTTTCTGACTTATCTGTCTTTGTAGAGTGTTGCTTTTTATTCTGGTACGTGGCGGTATAAGTTTACTAGTGGATAAGTCCTTTACTTTTTAGAAATTTTGAGAAGAATAAAAATAAAATAAATAAAAATTTTTAAGTGATAATGTCTTGGTCTGCTGTTTGGGTGGATTTGAAGCTCAAGGGATCCTCCTGCCTCAGCCACCCAGGTAGCTTGGAGTACAGAAATGTGCCACTATGCTAGATGCCTTAGTGCTGTTTCTAAGCTGGTTTAGGTAAGGCCATGTCTGCATGTAGTAGAGAAGTCATATGTTTATCCTATGTGCTCTAACTCTGGGAAACTGCCAAAGTCTCCATGGAGTTCATAGCTCCTCAGCATGTCTTAGGTCATCACTTAACATTGTAATGATCAAAGGCTGGGGGAGACCCTGGTGCATTACCCCAGTCACTACTTTGTGTAGTTTTAATTAATCCTCGAGTAGTTGGCTCTGTAAACGTCAGTCAACCATTTCAATATCCCAATACTCCTATTGTTCTCAGATATTTTCTATCCTGATAATGCTTCGTGTCTCTAAGCTAAAGTCTAGAAAATACCCTGAGAGAGCACTGGCCAGATCTTCTGGTTTCTTTTATGTGTTGCCTTCTCTCAAGGATCATGGGTCTATACTTTTTTTGCTTAAAAACTGAAAAGCATCAATTCATATGTTTTTGTTGTTTCACTTTTAGTCTGGTTTATAGTGGCTGTGCTGTCCTGGTATAAGGTAGTTCACTGTGACAGGAGGTGGAAGTGCCAGTTAACGTAACCTGCACGTTTAGAATGTATTCTCAATATTCTTGTTATGTTGTGAGATAAAAAAATTTCAGTTTTCTTTATAGATATCCAAGTAACCCAACATAATTTCTTTGAACATCTTTCCCTGAGGGATTAAACCAAAACCTTTTCCTACTTTCCTGAAAACAAAAAATCAAAACACATTAACTCTTCTGAATTTTCATGCTGTTTAGATTCAGTGAACTGGATTTTCTTCTTCTGGGAAGAGCTGTTGATATTTCTTTGCATCTAAAGGTAGTACATTAGATAATGATACCAATCCAGGGTTATGGATTAAGAACCTTGTCACTTGAGATGACGATAGAAATCAGTAGCAAAGTCAGCCTATTCAAACTTCAGAATCCATTGTTTCCAGTTTCCTTTCTAGCTTCTTGGTACCAGAATGCAAACCCTTTAAATAGTTCTAATTTTTTTTCTACACTATTTTATGCTTTTTGAAGGGCTAGAGTAATGACTAATAGTTGCACTATTACAGCTGATAGCCAAAATACTAAAAGTTTTCATCAATATAATTGTCTCCTGTTAGTCACTGTGGTGACTAGCCTCCACAGATGGCTTCTCAATGAACTCACACCCTTTGGAGCCCTCTCCTCTGTACCCTATGCACTTGCCATGTGTGACCAAGGTACTGTGACACTACACAACTTCTGAGGGCGATCTTAAGAGTATGTCTGTTTTTCACATTTTGGGGAAAGCCATGTACTACATAAGAAATTCACCAGTCAGAGATTGTGATTTGTGATGGTTCTCAACTATCATTGCAAAGGCCTTGCTTGGAGGAAGAAAAGAAGGAAAAGGGGAATGAGGGAGGAAAACAACAGTAGAGTGAGATGGGTGGAGCAGGATGGGGAGGGCAGGGAAAGGAAGGAGTGTAGCTGGAAGTTTTCTCTGGTCCCACCCAGCCCTGACCAGCCCAACCCAGCCCCGTGATCCCTTAGCCGCTTATAGAATAATCACTCAGAGGCTTAATATTATTTACAAACTGTATGGCCTATGGCAGGCTTCTTGTTAGCTAGCTGTTATAATTTAACCCATTTCTATTAATCTATAAGTTGCTATGTAACCATGGCATTACCGGTCTGCTGGCATCTTGCTGCTCCTTTGACAGCTGCTGGCATCTCTCTCTCCTCTCCTTTCTTCTCCCTGAGTGTCTGCTTGGATTTCCCACCTGCCTCTAAGATGCCTTGCCATAGGCCAAAGCAGCTTATTTATTAACCAGTGGGAACAACATATATTCACAACCTACAGAAAGACATCCCCCAGCAGGGAAGAGAGACTCTGTTAGTTACAGACATGTTTACTTCTCATCCAGTCATCTGCATGAAGATGTTCTAGCGGAACTCTTATCCCACTGAGCCTCCATCTCCAACCACCATATCACTGCAGCCACACAAGAAATCTATAAAGTAAATTGCTTACTAAATGATGAAACATAATATTTTAAGCCACTAAGTTAATGGGTAATGTAATTTGCTGAGAAGTCGTAGATAACCAAACAGTTAGAGTAATGACTACAGAGAAATGAAATCAGTGAAATAAGCAGCTCATGTCTAAATAATCACTTCTTGAAATGAGCTTTTGTCTTCTCCAAAATGATAGACTCTACACAACATTTTACCATTAAAGAGTTATCATTATTTAAAACCATTTAATTGTTCTCTCGGCATTTAATTGGGGGTTGAGATGATCCACTGCTTCAGCTGTCATTACTGAATTAATTTACCATGATTTTATTATGTAGCATGAAGACTTGCTTCTATTTGTAGTGGTTTGACTTTAACAATCAAATAATTATTCTTTTCCTTCTTAAAAGTGATTTTTTATTTTATTATTACTGTGTGTGCATACGATGAGCATGTGTGAATATGGATGTGAACATGCCATGGAATATGAATGGTCAGATGGCACCCTCAGGTGCTGATTTTCCCCTTTCCCTACGAGTCCCAGGGCTGAACTCAGTGGGTTAGGTTGTCCAGCAAGTGCTTTGACCCACCAAGCCATCTCACTGGTTCAACTGCTTTTCCTCTCTAGTGATATTACTTCTATTATCTATCTATACACAGATTTAAAAAAAAATCACCGTTCTTATGCATGCTTGATTGCCAGAAAAAACAAAACAATGAAAATATTAACTGTCTCCTACTTGTCCTCATGAACACTAGTGATTTGTGGCAACAGATACTATTTTGGGAAATTACTTTAACGGAAAGGTTGGTTGCTTATTCCCAGTTTATTCCTGCAACTCTTTCTATGTTCAAATGGAGCATAATCTTTTCTTGCAGAAGGATGCCTATTGACTGAGGGTGTTTTTCTGAGTCTCTTAGCAGTCCTGTCTCCTGCTTTGAGGTTTTGATGGGAACTGCTCTTGCCTGTGCTTCCTGCTCTTGTGCTGTCCCATGACATCATCAGATGAGAACTGCCTAGCCATTCTTTGTTGGCCGTGTGTCCAATATGCTCTAACAGTGGAGCAGAATTCTTCATTAGGTTCACAATGTAGCTTTGTTGTGCAATGTCATTATTGGTGACTATGGCATTTAGAAAATATTTGTGTCAGTTATTACTTAGAATCTAAAGAAAATGGAAAACACAGTGAAGTACTAATTTCCTTGAAATTATAGGTGTTCTTAAAATATAAAGCAGTGCAGAACAATGTGTAAAACAAAAATATTGATTTACATGGCTCATAATTCACTCTTTCCCTTCTACATTATGGCAGATACTAGTTTAGGAAGCAAACTGGGGTGTATAAGCAGCTAATAAATGCACAAGCATTTATTGTCACTCGGGTAAGTTATTTACTAAGT